GAAGCTGCCATTTGTTATTCATGTATCGCAACACTTCATGAAGGTCACCCCAAGATACTTCTAGATGAAGCTGCAAATGAACGCAAGTTACATGTTAAGGCTGCCATTGAATCTAAGAGACAAATTACTCTTCAGAAGAGGGAAAACATTGCTAGAACTCAGGGTAACTGTGTGAAGATTCTAGGTCAGATCGATAGCGTTAAGAAAGATGTACAAAAATTTGTTGACAGTATGATCGCTGCCCTGGAGGCGACAAAACAGGAAATATTTAACGACGTAGAAAAGAAAGTAAACGAAACTCTCCAGCTTTTGGTAACTAAACAGCGCGAGATGGAAAGTCAAGTAGCAGAGATTGAGACAGCAATAGAGAGGGCTGAACAAATTTTGAAACGAAGAACAAATGCGGAGATTACAAGACTAGACACTAATACAATCTTTCAAGGCGAATGCAATGATGGAGGTCAAGTCGAATGTGACTTTGAAAATCTTCGCCATTTTGTTTTCATTCAAAATGAAATGTTGATGGACAGAGTGAACCACAGGCAGACCACCCTTTGTTAGTGGGGGCCGTTGTTGATTGAATCTGAGCAACGACCTTTTGTTATTAATAGAAGAAATACATATGAACAATACGGTGGCTATAATTTGTTCCAAAATGCAGAATTTATAGCAAATTTTTCGATAAAAGTTTGAAGAAAATGTTAACTGAGTCATGTGTCATGTTTTTTTCGCCGTCCCTTGCTGTTTTAAGCCCTATTTTGCGAGATGAATATATCTTATTTTGGGACTTTGGTTACTGGCCGCTTAATGGAGGCCTTCAACTGTATTTAATAGCTGTTGGCTGTCTGTCCTACAAAACTTCTCGTTTTCATGAACACTGGTTTTAAGGTAGCCCGGTGAGGTCCTTGGATTTGACCCCCAAAGTATTTTGGCAATGTTGGGACAGAGCTCGATCATTGTCGTCAAAGTGGAACATAAAAAAAAATAATACAACAGTAGCTTTGCATTTATTCGAATTCAAATATGCTGACATGCTGGCACTGATCAGTGATCGTAGCATTTACTATTCATTAGAGAGTTTTAGATCCGAATTTGCCGCGAACCTCTAACCGCGGTTCGCGGTTACCCGTTTGCGGTTCGACGTTTAAATATATAATTCGATTTAGATTGGCGGTGGATTAGATTAGGGCCGCCATTTTGAATAAGCAGCCATGAATGGCACTTGTTTTCAAGATCCAATAGGATTTATCAAATTTAGCTTTTCGCCCAAATTTGTGCCTCTGTTAATGGATAAAGACTTGCTCCACAAGATTTTTGTATCATTACGTGGGATAAAACAAGAATTATACGCTAAAAGCTTTCAGGTAAATGACATACGTAAAAAACCTACCTCCCCACGTTGAAAACGCACGTCGTAAACCTCAAACGTGACGCGAAAGACTTGTCACGTGACCTCCAGCGGTTAGAGGTTCGCGGTAAACTCGAATCTAAAACTCTCTATTTACTGATTTCAGCTTAAAAGGACAGCAATAGGCAGTTATCATTTGCAACCACGACTGATGAAAAACATGCTTCATTATTGTACGTTCTAATTTCAAGTAATTATTATCATTACTGTTATGTACGAAATTTGTTATCTTTCGGTATCTATCCGTTTTATAACGGAGAGGTTCCTCCCCGAAGTCTAGCCTCTTAGCCCTTTATACATTTTGACAGAAGAGGCACCCCTTTCGTATTCCTTCCAAGTTCTATAAATTGACAAATGGTACCCGTATCGCATACNATCTTCGCCATTTTGTTTTCATTCAAAATGAAATGTTGATGGACAGAGTGAACCACAGGCAGACCACCCTTTGTTAGTGGGGGCCGTTGTTGATTGAATCTGAGCAACGACCTTTTGTTATTAATAGAAGAAATACATATGAACAATACGGTGGCTATAATTTGTTCCAAAATGCAGAATTTATAGCAAATTTTTCGATAAAAGTTTGAAGAAAATGTTAACTGAGTCATGTGTCATGTTTTTTTCGCCGTCCCTTGCTGTTTTAAGCCCTATTTTGCGAGATGAATATATCTTATTTTGGGACTTTGGTTACTGGCCGCTTAATGGAGGCCTTCAACTGTATTTAATAGCTGTTGGCTGTCTGTCCTACAAAACTTCTCGTTTTCATGAACACTGGTTTTAAGGTAGCCCGGTGAGGTCCTTGGATTTGACCCCCAAAGTATTTTGGCAATGTTGGGACAGAGCTCGATCATTGTCGTCAAAGTGGAACATAAAAAAAAATAATACAACAGTAGCTTTGCATTTATTCGAATTCAAATATGCTGACATGCTGGCACTGATCAGTGATCGTAGCATTTACTATTCATTAGAGAGTTTTAGATCCGAATTTGCCGCGAACCTCTAACCGCGGTTCGCGGTTACCCGTTTGCGGTTCGACGTTTAAATATATAATTCGATTTAGATTGGCGGTGGATTAGATTAGGGCCGCCATTTTGAATAAGCAGCCATGAATGGCACTTGTTTTCAAGATCCAATAGGATTTATCAAATTTAGCTTTTCGCCCAAATTTGTGCCTCTGTTAATGGATAAAGACTTGCTCCACAAGATTTTTGTATCATTACGTGGGATAAAACAAGAATTATACGCTAAAAGCTTTCAGGTAAATGACATACGTAAAAAACCTACCTCCCCACGTTGAAAACGCACGTCGTAAACCTCAAACGTGACGCGAAAGACTTGTCACGTGACCTCCAGCGGTTAGAGGTTCGCGGTAAACTCGAATCTAAAACTCTCTATTTACTGATTTCAGCTTAAAAGGACAGCAATAGGCAGTTATCATTTGCAACCACGACTGATGAAAAACATGCTTCATTATTGTACGTTCTAATTTCAAGTAATTATTATCATTACTGTTATGTACGAAATTTGTTATCTTTCGGTATCTATCCGTTTTATAACGGAGAGGTTCCTCCCCGAAGTCTAGCCTCTTAGCCCTTTATACATTTTGACAGAAGAGGCACCCCTTTCGTATTCCTTCCAAGTTCTATAAATTGACAAATGGTACCCGTATCGCATACCTAGTTTATAACGTTTACTGCTGTAAATGCAAACGTCTTTTCAGGGGCACCCAACGAGAATATAGTTCAAAACCACTGAAACATAGCATATGTTGAACGTATTTTAGTATTTAAACGGTAGATATAGGCATATTTTTATCCCCTTAAAATTTTTCATCTGTTCGGATTTCCAAGCTGAAAGTCTAGTGATCCGAAGCTAATTATAGGGATCAAGACTTACCTTTTCGAAAATTTCAGCCAGAGAAAAGGCTCCCAAAAATTCTAGGTGACATTTTTAGGGTAAAAATCCGTTAAAAATGGGCAATTATACCATTTTTTGATGTTCGAAAATCCTAGCAGAGGCAGGCAAGCAAGAAATATTACAACAAATGTTCCGAAAATTCTAGATCTCAAATCGTCGTCCGAACAGATATTTTCCGAAAATTGACGTTGGGTGCCCCTGTCTTGTAAACATGTATAAATCAATGAACCAGGATGTTTTTTTGACATTTCCCAACCATAAAATGCATCTGTTATCCCTTTTGGGTCTTTTTACAGACACATACATGAAATAGTGACATCCCTTCCCTTTTATATAGGCGTGAAAAAGGTCCCTCTTTCGGGCCGAGCCTCCCAGGGAGTACCCCCGGCCTTATCCAAATATCTGAACACGGTGGTTAAGGAAGTCAGAGACAACTATCTTACCGTCGCTTAAGACTGCTGCTGAAACTGGTACATTAAGCTTTCCTTTGCCACTACCATAGCTTCCAAACTTAGTTACAAACTTTCCACTTATTTCAAACACCTGTACCCTGTGGTTACCCCCATCACAGACAATCAAATGTCCTGCTTTGGTAACTGATAAACAATCAGGTGAATTGAACTCCCTGTCTCCATAACCTGCTCCAAACTTACACATAACCGCTCCCTCCACATTTAAAACTTGAACACAATTTTCATCATAGTCCGACAGTACAAGATAGTTGTCATGTTGAATACAGTGAAAGGGACAGGAGACAGTTGTGCCAATTTTGCGCAGAAAATGGCCCCTTGGAGAAAATACCTTAATAGATTTGTTACGTGAATCAGCAACGATAAAATTGCCTTCATAGTCTATTGATATACCAAGAGGGAGGTTAAGCTGGTGATCAAGATTTCCTTCGCCCCCAAACTGGTAAAGAAACTCACCTTGTGCGCTTAAGACTTGGACTCGGTGGTTATTACGATCCACCACTACAATTTTATCATCATAAAAAACAATCCCACAAGGTTCGTTAAATTCTCCCTCCTGATCACCTTTGCAGCCAAAGGATCTTAAGAGGGATCCCGCCGCATCAAAGATCTGTACTCTATGGTTTTTCCTGTCAGTGACTGCTATTTCGTCGTGTTCATTAACTGCAACTCCCCAGGGCTGATTAAATCTTCCAAAAGAAGAACCCTCTTGGCCGAAACTCAACACAGGCTTGTACTGTCTGGCTTTGATTTGGACCTTAAAAGGACTGTCTTGAATATGTTCTCCATTCACCTTCACTGATGCCACACATGTTCCTGTTTCTTTGGCAAAGTAGCTGATCTTATAAGTACCATTTTTGTTATCTCCCACCAGTACTTTCGTGGCACAGTCATGTCCTTGACGATTTCTTATTTCCACTTTCACAAAGTCACGCTCCTCATAGCACTGAACTCCATCGGCAGTTCTTGTTATCACAACAATGTCTGCTTTTAGTCCAACGGTTGCTTCCTTGATTCCTTTACCCGCGGCACTTGACTGTTGTGCGACAGTCTTGCTAAGAAAACCTCTGAATGACCCAATCCCTCCACAGTTCACTTTGTTCATTATCATTTCGTTTTGTATGAAAACAAAGTGGCGAAGATTTTCAAGGTGACATTCGACATGACCCCCATCATCCCCATCACCTTGAAAGATTGTGGTGGTGTCCAGTTTTGTAATTTCGGCACTCGTTCTTCGTTTTAAGATTTGTTCACCTTTCTCGATTTCTGTCTCAATCGATTTTAACAGACTTTCCACTTCGCACTTTTGAGTTCCCAGGAGCTGGAGAGTTTCTTTTGCCTTCTTTTCTACGTCATTAAATATTTCCTGCTTTTTCGCCTCCAGGACAGCGATCATACTGTCAACAAACACTTGTGCATCTTTCTTCACCCTATCGACCTGAGCTTGAATGTTCTCGCGGTTAGCCTGAATTCTTGCAATATCTCTCTTCATCTGAAGAGCTCTCTGTTTCTGAGAGTCAATAGCAGCCTTAACATGTAACTTGCGTTCATTTGCAGCTTCGTCTAGAAGTATCTTGGGGTGGCCTTCATGAAGTGTTGCGATGCATGAATAGCAAATGGCAGCTTCACAAGTCTTGCAAAAGAATTCCAATTCCTTCCTTTCATGGCCTGGTTTTCCACAAAATGCTGGTCGCTTTAAAATGCTCTCAAAGTCCTGATCTTGAAATTCTTTCAGAGCGAGCGCATGGTGTTCTTTATTAGCTTTGATGCCATTATGCAAAACGATGCAGCTATCGCACCAAAATTCAAAGCACTGGAAACAATAAAAGCTTTGTTCACTCTTTTTGTCGCAATTTCCACACTTCACACCGCTTGTATTGCACTCTTTTATGGCCAAAACATCGAGCAGACTGTTGATACGAAAGTTTGTAGGCAAAGCCTGGAGGTTGCCACTCTCAGGGACTATGAATTCCTGTCGGCATTCAGGGCACGCAATCACATTGGGGTTGGCACTCGTTCGTTGAATCCCGTTCAGGCAGTGAAGGCAAAAGCTGTGCAAGCAAGGTAACTGTTTTGGGTCTGTGAACTTGCACATACAAACAGTACAAGAAACCTCTTCATGCAGATTATCTAGCAAGGTTTTGATATCCATGTTAAATGGCAGAAATAGACTCAAGAACCGAGCAGTCATATGAAGTCTCTGAAGTCTGATCAGTGGGCTTGGTATGTGATATTGTAATAAGCTTATGACATCAACCAATGACAAAGTGTTATTTTGACATGTTTTGACGATGTCTACCTTCTGAGAATGATTGCAAAATAATTCTAGGTTTCTAAGAATTATGCTCACGAAAGCGTGACTTCAGAGGCTCCTTGATAAGACACGAGAAATTTCACATAACTCAGAAACAGGTAACTCAGAACAGAATAGAAGACAGAGCTCCTCTACATTTTTCTCATTTATGTTCTGTGTACTGTTATATTTGTATTTGAAACTGCTCAAGCAATACTCTGGGTGCCAGAGATTAGGATAGTCCGCCGCGAAGCATGCACGCCCTATTTCACTCTAGGAATTTAATTTCGACAACTGACCTCTGAAGACAGGAGTGGGGCCTTACGCAACCAGATAGTATTGAAAAGAAGATGGTAACTCTAATTTTACTCATTCAGCTTCTCGTTTTTGTGAAATAACACACTTTTTCTCCGTTAAGAGTACTTTCAGGCTTAATTTCGTGCCCAGAAACCTCGGGCGCGCTGGTCAGTGAATGGTCGCTAAGTGGACCCTAGTTGTCCTCGTTATCATTTCCACGCACTGCATGGATTTATTGTTATCGTATTGCGCTTCACGTACGAAGGTATTCTAAGCGAAGGCTGATTGAGTGTTATTTTGTTTATGATAAAAACCCCCGCGCAAACGGACGCAGCATTGTTGGCCACACTGGACGAAAAAATGGATTTGCACTAATTCGCTCCTTACAAATATGTGGCAAATTTGTTAAAACGGAGGACTACATATGGGCTGAAAAATGGTAAATGTCATATTTGCATACCATAAAACTGGGGGTGTAAATAACTAGGCAAATGTGGCATTCAACGTCTATGCCCCACATTTACTCATCCGTTTTTACAAATTTGTGACATTTTTTTCGTGACATTGTTGGATGTTACACGTTAGAACCTTTTGCACACCCTATTGCATGTTGTCGATTGGGAGTTTTTGCGCAAAGTTTGCAACCGGTTAAACTTTTGAGCGAACAACTCCCAACATTTCTTTTTTTCCTGTGATCGCCGTAGCTTGGAGGCGTTTGCACAGCTCTTTTAACATTGTTGGGGCCACGCACGCGCATAGACCAGTTTCACGTCGCCGACGGGAGCACGACGGCAATGTGTTGAGCAAGAGCATGTGCAAAAGTGCACAAATCATGACGTCACGTCCGGTCGAAGTTGCCGTCGCCCCGAAAACGTCTCCATCTTAAGTTCCCTACTACTGCCCACACGGACGCAACAATTCCTGACAGCCAACAATGTTGGGAGTTGTTGTGTCCGTTTGCACGTAGCTCATTTTACCGGGAAAGAGGACTTCCACAAGAGAACAAACACAGCGGTAATTTGAACCTGGATAAACTGCAATGTTCACTTAAAGTTCCTTTTGCTGAGAAACGGTTTACTTATCTTAAACGAAATCACGAGAGCACTCCAGTAATCTTTGATTGTCAACAGTTTAACTATACAAGTTGCTAGCCTAAGGTTTGATTTCCACTGTCGCGTAATTTTTACGTGCGTATGTGGGTAAAATTTACGTTCGCAAATAAAATAGAGGCACTGCATGAAAGGTCGTACGTAAGCGTAAAAAGTAGAACCTCGTTAAACTTCACGTTTAATCTCAACACTTTATATTTTGTCTCTGTTTTATTAAAGTGATTAAAATTTACGTGCGTTAACGTGCGTAGCCAAAAACGCATGAGTGGAAATCAACCTTAAGTAAGTTATTTCATTGCGCGAAAGTTTTTAACCCTCATTATCGGATAGGTGTTCATGCTATACAGGATAGCTTTGGTTGCCCAACGAAAACCCATCCGTTATGGTATGAAGATAGTCTTAGACAATCACATAGCGCGAATGTGTTCCGTGTGGATGACCCACGCTCAGAAGCACGCGTCCTTCACGAATTGACGAAGAACAAAATGGCGGAAGACGCAGAGTGCGATATTACTATTCGTTTTGTCGACGAAAACGACTACAGAGAGATTTCTGCTAAAGCTGTGTCAGCGAAACGGAAATTAAAAAAGAATCGCCCTTCCTCACTTGTATAGAGCTAACAGTACCGCAGGGAAATCTTTAACAGACTGAATATTCTCTCGGGATCATTTATAATTTACAGTTTGAAGAGAGCTTTTTCTGTTTTGATATTTATTCTTATATTAGTCTTTGATTATTCAACAACAATAACACTTTGCGTCCTAATTGCTTTATTGTACAAACGACCGGTTTCAATAGACCGGCGAAATTTCTCATTTTATTAAAGCACTGAGGTTACGACAACTTCGAGTTAAACTGATTTCACGGGTTGTCAAAAGCCAGCGATTCCCTTTTCCCAGGTGAGCGCCGACTAATTTCCCTTCAATATTCAGGAATGCTCTCGATCTCTTTAAGCTTTCATTGCCTTTCGCCCGACATGTTTTGCACGGCCTTTAGTCATGCGAAATCTCCACGAAACATCCACGTAGCGCGCGAGGTAACTTTATCCCTATTCTAAAAATATTTCGAGACGAATCTTACGGAATAGGGTGTGTATGGAGGATGCCTCCTCTGTCCCCTTTATCCTCTCTTTTTTACTATCAGTCACACTCATATCCATGCGTGATTAAACACTTATCTCGGCGATCTTATTTAGCCTGTCTACTCAATTCAACTAATCATGATAATTTCTGAAGTAGCTGAATTTTGGACAAAGTCCACTAGCATTATAAGTGACTTACTTTGTAGTTTCTCTGTTTGGATAGCAAGGCACATTTCTGAACAGTTTTCTCAAGGTGATACCAATCTATTTCAGATCGAAGGTTTTTCACAACCAGCGGAAACGTTCTGCTTTGGGGGTTATCTTTATAGCAGCCTATTTCTTCCACTGTTAAAATACATGCAATACATCACTTAAAAGATGTGGGAAACTATATCATCACAACACGACAGAAATGCTACAGTGCACTCCCTTGAATTGTTTTATTAATTATTAAAAAAAATATCTCTTAACTCTCTTACTCCTTGCTTTAGGTATGGAGAAAATTAATATAGTTGTAACCTTGAGTCTGTGAACGAAATCCTATGTTGTGACCATTCAAATAACACCTCTCCAGCAGTAGTTTTATTTAGTACACAGTTCTATTCTTTTGAGTCTGTATAGTAGAAACCCTATGGTGTGAGCAATTAAATAAAACCTCTTCAGCAGCACTTTCACGAGGTACTAATTATTTAGCATAAATTCAATTATAGCTAAAACTTTCACCATCACTTTACATGCACTATTTGTTTTCTGTTGTAGATTTTTGGGTTTATTTTGCTTTTTGTTAATTAAATGTTGGAACGTCGGCAACAGCTATCATGCTTGTTTCCTAAGAAGGAAATTGCTGCCAACAGGGTGAAGTTATTTCCTCAAGAAAGAGAGACTTTGAGATATCTGCCGTAAAGGCAATAACTCTAATAAGTTTTCGAAGGTAGACACCAACCAGCTGGCAAAGCAAGCACACAGCACTAGACGGTGTCCGCATATAAAACAAGAGGACGTCCACGTAAGACCTGGTATGGATTAAGAGCTTCAAAGAAAGCCCAGGGGCAGACAATATCCCCAGCGTCACAGCAACATCTTTCATGACAATATTCTCTTTGTCATAGCCCTCAGACTCGAGGCTGGTCGAAAGCATTAACGCCCTACCACACCTCCGTTCGAACGGATAGATAAAGTAAAGTAGCTTAAAGTTATGATGGAGACTTACTGCAAGGTAATACAAAGCGGATCTTCGGGTCTTTCTTTACAGCTTTATAAAGCTAGGTGGTAGAAAAATTTCACATTTTGTGGACTGCGATGAAGAAATGATTACTTGCTTAGGTTTAACCCCGCTTCAGATAAAGCGACTTGATCGTATTTTTGGTGCTTATTTCAGCAACACTCATGAATGCTGTGGGAATTCAATCCCTGGGCCAAGTGGGTTAAACTTGAACCCATCATGCATACTGACAAGCCTAGGAATAATGAAGGAAAACAAACTGGCTTGTTGAATTGAAATATTCTTCTTGAACGATTTCTATTTTGTTGCCAGTAATAGTCTTATTAACAAAACGACCAGAAATTAAGATATTTTATTGAATTAACTTCTGTATTTAACTTTATAGACGTAAACGTCATATGATTTCAGGTAGGGAACGTTTATTTGTTTATTTGTTTATTGTTTGTTTGCCAAAAATTGTACAAATCAAATAAAATCTAATTACTTAACGTCTCATGGCGAGGAAGCCATCGGGCTTATAAGGAATGGGCTCCCTCAGTTAGATGATTAGAACAAAATATTATCATAATTACACATGGGAAAATCAATGGCAGAGCTACAGTAAATCTTAAAATAAGTATATTAGATAGTCGTACTAATCATAGTTCTAGGCTAAAAAAAGCGAAATGACAAAAAGAAAAAAAACAAAAACAAAAAGAAAATAAAAGAGCAAAGGAAGAAAAAAAAATACATATATATATATATATAAATTACTATTTATGATAAGATGAATGCTTTCAGCTTACAGCAAAAGGAAGCGGTACTTGTTGCATTTCGAATTTCAAAACTAAGAGAGTTAAAAAATTTAGGACCTTGGAAACTGATTGAGAACTTTCTTATATTAGTCCTGCATTGTGGTAAAATAAAAATGCTCCGAACTTCTAGTGCCATAAGAATGCACATGGCGTGTCACCAAAAACATGTTATTGAAGCTATAAGGAAGTAAGCCAGATCTGTATTGATACATAAATTTTCCTATTTGAAGTTTGTAGAATACTCTCAAGATTCAGAATTTTTAAATTTTTAAATAAGGGGTCAGTGTGAGCATCGGAGGCACTCCTCGACATTATTCTTACGACCCGTTTTTGAAGTGTGATTAATCTTCTGAGGTTTGATGGGTAGGTCGATGCCCAGACGCTCACGCAGTATAATAAGTATGGGTAGATAAGGCTAAAATAAAGCATCCGTAAGGAGGAATTATCAAGGCAAAAACTTGATTTATAAATTATACCTATGGCTTTAGACACTTTCCGAGCAACATTATGTATATGTGATTTCCATGTTAAATGTTCATCCAAAATTACACCAAGAAAAGCAGCTTCCTTAACACGATCAATCGAATAATTACAAATATTAAAAGCTAGATCAAGTGTTTGCCTGTTTTGTCTCGGTCTGAATATGATAAAATTAGATTTCTTAACATTAATAGATAGCTTATTTGTATAAAACCAACACGTTATCTTTTTCAATTCTAAATTTACAACTTCCATAAGATAGGAAGCATCAGTATGCGAATAGATGATATTAGTGTCATCAGCAAATAGTATCAGCTCTAAGACCTTTGACACATTACATAGATCATTTATATATACTAAGAATAACAGGGGACCTAAGATAGATCCCTGAGGGACTCCTCAAGTGATATCTAATGATGAAGAGTTGTAAGCATTATATTGCACAAAGTGTTTTCAACAAGAAAGATAACTTTTAAACCATTGTAAAGCAATACCATGTACTCCACAATGTTCTAATTTGTCGAGCAAAATTTCATGATTTACTGTATCAAAGGCCTTAGATAAGTCAATGAATAGGCCTAAAGTTACCCTTTTACTATCAAGTGCATTTGAGATCTTGTCATACAATTGGATTAAAGCATGTCCAGTAGAATAATTTTTTCTGAATCCATACTGATTCCGGGAAAGAATATCATATTTATTTAAAAAATTAATGAGGCGATTGTAGACGATTCTCTCTAGGAATTTAGAGAAAACTGGTAACACTGAGACGGGTATGTAATTTGTGAACAAAGATTTATCACCAGATTTAAACAATGGAATAACTCGTGCAATTTTCATCTCTTGGGGTACAACTCCAGAATTAAGAGACAAGTTAATTATATACGTCAATGGTGGGCAGATTAAGTTCAAAGACTCTTGAACAACATTCATTGAAATACTATCATATCCTGGAGCAGTACCGGATCGAAAGCTGCTACAAGTCTCAGTGACTTCTTGTTCTGATGCCGATTGAAGAAAAAATGAATTAATAAAGCCTCCATTCAGAAAAGAACGATGAGATTTGTCAGACGCCGGAATTGATTTAGCTAAGTTAGGTCCAATATTCATAAAATACTCGCAAAAACGGTTTGGTATATGAGTAGGATTAAATATTTCTTCTTCATTAGATTTGAAGATGGAAGGCAACTTACACTTAATTTTCTTCTTGTTAATAAGATCGTTAAGTAATTTCCAAGTTGATTTTGCATTTGATTTATATTCATCTAACTTTTTATTGTAGTATAGAGACGTTTAGCAACGCGAAGGGAATGTGTCAATTTGTTTTTATAACTCTTGTAAAGTTTCTCACGATATGGAGTTGGGTTAGCAAGGAAACGCTTGTATAATAAATTCTTTTTTCTTACCGATTTAAGAAGACCTTAGGTTATCCATGGTTTGCTCAAAGTAACATTCTTTACTTTCACTTTTTTGAGAGGAAAGCAGTTATTGTAAATGGTAGTGTGTTTATCAAGAAAACACCGATAAGCGCAATCAGCATCTTTACATTCAGATAATTCATCCCAGTGAACGTTTGCAAGCCTATCTTTAAACTTAGCGACATTATTTCCACTTTTGTCACGAAAAGAAAGCCAAGAAGTTTTATTTAAGTTCTTGTTTTGATCAAGAAGCAGTGTGAAAATCGGAAGATGATCAGATATATCACAAAACATCAGCCCGCTAACAGATAAGTTGTTTAAATTATTCGTGAAAATATTATCAATTAGCATAGCCGTGTTAGAAGTTATTCTTGTCGGACGTGTGATCAATGGAAAAAACATTCTTGAATACATAGTTTCTAACAATTCTCCAGTTGTGTCGTGACAATGGTGGTTGATTAAGTCTAGATTCCAGTCACCTAAAACATAGCAAATCTTGTTTTCCTTAGAGATACTTGCAAGCAACGAATCCAGGCTATTCATAAAATCTCGTAAATTTGAATTTGGTGGCCTGTAAACCACACCTACAATTATATTTTTCTCTTTCGGCCTATTGATTTCCACAAACAAAGACTCAGCACATTCAGTGCAAGAAAAAACTAAGTCAGGTCGACATTTAAAATCAAAATTGTCCGCTAAATATAGACCTACACCTCCACCTGTCCTATCTTTACGTGGATTGTGGACAAAATTATAACCTGAGATATCGGTATGATGCGATGAGTCTCGAAGCCAGGTCTCAGTTATACCAATAAAAGAGAACCTCAACTCTAGATTCTTTAGCAAAGTGGTTAAGCTATCCAAATTACGATGAAGGCTACGAATATTAAGATGCAGAAGCGATAAACAATTATTGACTTCTAATATATTTTTCTGATGCAACATTTCATTGAAGTTTTCTTCGGTATAATATTCGCAGTCAACTAACTCCGTGAAGAAATTAGCATCAGGATCATGATGGCTAGAAAGGCTAAATTTTTTATATGTTTCAGATAATAAAGGATTAAACCTGAGGCTAGCTAACCTATCGGGATCGTAACGTATAGGTCCATTTAACTGCTCAAATATAGCCAAACGAAAGTCTTCTTCGTTTAAATGAATAAACGGTAATTCTTCCATTAATGAGTCGAACAAAAAACATTGTGCAATATACTTATCTTAATCATTTGAAGAACCGGAGGGCTTATCACGAATGATCAAACGATCTAAGATAAAATATGCTGATTTTCCTGCTTGCTTAATTAACGTGCCCACACTATTAAGCATGCATAGTTCAATTATTGAGATGATGCTGTTCTGTTTATAGTGCTCAAACTTTATGAAGGAAAACTGCAGCTCTTAACAGAAAAGAACGTACAACAAAATGGTGGGGAAAACACGTGTACCCTTATTCCAAGACAAAGAATGAAATTCTATAACAGCATGCTGGAAGAAATTTGTAGGTCTTCTAATGGAAAGCATTTATGTTACTTCTGAGAGCAGCAGTCATTTAGTTGGAATGTTCATCTGCAGTTACAGAAACTTTACAAATCTATAGATTTCTATAACAGTCAAGCAAGTGGTATCTGAAACTATCGCAAAGCAGGCAAGGACATGGCAAAAAAGCGGAATGACCGGAACGTCTGTGCTTCCTTGCGTAAAAGATTAGAGGATAGTGTTAGGGATGCTGAGAAGCTTGATACAGAGCTGAAACAACGTCCGGAAAGGCTGATAGATGCCAACAACATTTCCAGTATTAAAAAAAGGGTACGGGGAAGAACATCGATACCTTACTACTAATTCATTGGGAAAACTACAAGAGCAGTTAAAAGTGCTGCTGGGTGTGCAAGGCGATTTATAATAAACCATTCATATCTTGTGTTAGTACAGCCTGGATCGACAATCATCTAAAGAAAATGCACGTATCAAAAGAAGAAAGAAAGAAAACAAAAGAAACACTAAGAAACAGTCGGACAAGAGGTTGTACAACAGATGCAAAGAGATATTAAACAAGTTAATAGTGGACAAAGAAAAGGCATCTCAGCTTCAGAGCTTGATTTTCAACAAAGATGGACGAGTACATGTGACAAGCGAAAACAAAAATATGCAAAGAAGAGGATATAAAGGTACAAGCACTTCTGATCACTTTTTGAGGCCCAAATTCTGCTGCTGGGTGCAAGTGCAAGGCGATTTATGATAAAATATTCATATCTTGTGTTAGTACAGCCTGGATCGACAATCATCTAAAGAAAATGCGTGTATTAAAAGAAGAAAGAAAGAAGACAAAAGAAAAACTAAGAAACAGTGGGACAAGAGGTTGTACAACAGATGCAAAGAGATATTAATTAAAACAAGTTAATAGTGGACAAAGAAAAGGCATCTTAGCCTCAGAGCTCGATTTTCAACAAAGATGGACGAGTACATGTAACAAGCGAAAACAAAAATATGCAAAGAAGAGGATATAAAGGTACAAGCACTTCTGATCACTTTTTGAGGCCCAAATTTCATCTCAAAGCATTTCGGCAACTGAGGGAACTCACTGTCTTTGGTGGGGATGCTCTTGAACATGTACATTGTGCTGTTCATAATTTAGAGAAGCAAAGTGTTGTTGTTGTTGTTGATGATGATGGTGGGAACGATGATGTTGTTAATGCTGCTAATGATGATAATGATGATGGTAGTGGAAGTGAAGAGGATACTGAGAATTTTGGTAACAATGATGAAGTTTAGAACATGCCTTGACACAGAATGTTGTAATGTGTTTTCAAGCACTAAATTTGTACAGTTTAATAACATTCGTCAAAAACTGATGACACATTTTTCAAGTTGTGTATGCTATCTGAGCCACCAAGCACTTTAAGGCATGCCAATATTAACTTGTTTGCATTGGAATACTAATAATACTTTCAATGGCTTCCATGTTAGTTGGAGTTGGAGCTCTGTTTCAGTCCATTCATTTGTCTTGGTTTCAGTGGCTACTGCTAAACACAGAGATATTGGCTTTTTTCCAGTTAAAGAAAGATTGAACTTTTATTGAAGTTTTGTAGTTCTTGTTGACTTAAAAGCAATATTAGCTTTACAATAAAAACACTTGGCTTTTTTATCAATAATGAAAGTCCTGTAAAGAGTGTATTCCGGGGATAAAGAAAATAAGCTAGCAAATTTTCTTCAAGCATAGAGTAATTAGGATGCTCTTCTTTTACAAAAAATCCACAAAATAATACTTCCTATTTTAATAAGTGGAGAAAAAAATTAGCAATCCCCCCCCCTTTGTCTGTCAAAAATTTTGGTAACCCCCCACCCCTTGTCCCTTGTCCCCCCTGCGGTATACATAATGAATGCAGCCTAAGTAGAATGCTGCGCGCTCAATTTTCAAGAACGAGTGATCGTGTTAAATGTTGGGAGTTTAAGTTGAATTATTGTCGAGGATTGAACAACATACTACGCAAGGGTTCGCGAGGAAAACGATGACAATAACCCCATTTCATACTGCAAATGATAATTGACATGGCTTCAACAGGTTACACTCTCGATCCTCCTAGAAAGGTTTTATGCAGCCTAGAATCTATGAGCTCTACATTGTCTATAGATTTTGCGGACTGGCGGTGAAGAAAGGTTAACTACAAGATCTGAAAATGTACTTAAAACAATTAAGACGCTCAAGCCATGGTGACTATACATTAAAAGGGTCTTTGATGGAGTTCCGATAAACCGTTATAAATAAATTACGTTTTTTAATTAGCTGCCACGACATCTTGGCCAAAATGAGAAAACTTTTATGATCCCACCCATCACAACAACCGTAAATGGTTTAGCTAATAAACGCCTAGCCTGAATTTCATCCGATTACTTCGAGTCGTTATTACTCCCTCAGAGTAATAAGGACTCGAAGTAATCGGATGAAATTCAGGCTAATAAAGGCCCGGCAGCTCGGGCTTCTATTTAATTTCAGGGGTTCAAGGGGCGTTTAATACATAGGAGGCATTTAAAAGATAGACACGTTTATTCTCATAACTGTGACAAGCTCAACAAAACTAATATGCTTTCGGCGAAAATATCAAGAAAGTTTAAAAATAGCGGAAATCCACTCCATCAATTGATACGTCTCAGGGCCGTCTAGAGATCCAAATCCCCCTTCAAATCCCAAAATCGAGATGTCAGAATCCTCGCTCAGGGTCATTGTGTTGCCATCGTTAGTGTATCGTTACTTTGACATTGAACAAGATGGAAAACGCAAAGCCTTGTTAGTCAAGTAAGAAACTGAATGAATTGAATGCTTTTGCCGTTTTAAGCTTATTCGTTTATTAGATAAGAGGTGTTATTTTGAAGCGGGCGTTCAGGTCATTCACGGTTTTGAAACTGTAATGAACCCTACAAGACGCACCGCAAACTTTTTTACCCCCCCCCCCCCCCCCCCCCCCCCCCCCCACCCCCCCCACACCCCCCTCCACTCCAACCCAACCCCAACCAACAAACAAAAAAAAACTAAACACAAACATTATACAAACACATATAAAAATATAAATATAAAAAAAAATTAATTTTTTTTCCTTTTTAAATCTACTTTTTTTTTTAAATAGTGGAGTTTTTTTGGGGCGGAGGCTCATGTTGTCTTTGCGTTTAAAACTGTAATTAACCCCCAAAGGCGGCCCCCAAATATTTTTTGCCCCCCCCCCCCCCCACTGATCCCCCCAAACTATCAAGTCTATAAATACTGAACTCTCCATAATATGCTAATTGTAAAAGAAAATTAATGGCAGTTCAACCTTCAAGGAAATTTTACCAGAGGTAGAGTTATTTTTTCGATAAAGTTAAATTACGGTCTTCTTGGTAAGTTGTCGACATGCATGCATGGGCGCCCAGGGCATGAAAAGGCTACAATTATATCTTAACCACACTTGAGCGCAATTGACAAATTATTAGCATTTACTCTTTATTTACAGTTACCCCGGAGTAGTCAATCGATAAAGATCGGTACCGATTTATCACTTGATAAATCGATAAAAATCGGTAAATCTGATTTGATTGATATCAAATGTATCGATCAATCAGTAGAAATCGATGACACACTTGTTTCGTTTATCGAGTTATCAGTCGATAAAAATCACTTGATTGCTATCGATTTTAATTGATTGAATACTCCGGCCAGTTACGGAAATAACGTCTACCATTTAATACGAGTAGAAGCAAACCGTTCTTGAAGTAAACAATATGTTTTTCTCTTGAAAAAGCCATGAGCTGTTGTGGGAGAGTCCAAGATAAGCAAACTAAACTATCTTTCCATCTTTTTGAACAAATCCTTGATTCCCCGGCATACTCGGAGGCAAGAGATCATACTATGGTCTCTTGTCGGAGGTTAACGTATGCTGGAGGAGCAAGACGTTTTTTCTTATATTCAACATCCATACAATCAAAACCCCGGGGGGGAGGTACTTGGCTAAATTTTTGCTGGGTATGTGCCGCTGGCCTCTCAGAGCCCCTACCCCATTATACTTTATTCTGTGACCAATTATAGACCCCATCTTAGTCACTTTTGGGCAACTATGTAATTTTCGCGATCCCAACTTAGTCACTTTCTACTTTTATGAATTGACCCATTTTTTAAACTGAATGAAGAACACTTTACTTTTCACCCACAGTACAAACATTCTGGTACGTTTACTAACCGTAAATATGAAGAACTTTCCCACGCCAAAAAATCCGAAAATTAGCGACCCCATTCTAGTAACTCTGGAAAATGCGACCCCATCCAGCGGCACATCCCCATTAGCCTCTTATAAAGAAGTATACCCCGGGGATCAAAAACCACTATCATCATTCGATTATGTGAATGCGGTGGTTGTATAGGTCGGATACAACAATCTTACCATCGCTGAGGACTGCTGCAGAAATCGGTCCATCAAACTCTCCTTTTCCTCGATTTCCAAATTTAGTTATAAATCTTCCACTCATTTCAAACACCTGTACTCTGTCGTTTTCCGTATCACAGACTATTAAATGTCCTGATTTGCTTACGGATAAGCATGCAGGAGCGACGAACTCTCCATCCCTATTACCCCTTTTACCAAACTGAAACAGGAACCCTCCCCTCTTATTGAAGACCTTTATAGAGGGATCTACTTCTTCATGGAAAGTCTCACTTACTATGCCGCGGTCTGACACTAAAAGAAACTTGTCATATTGAAAGCAGTGAAAAGGAAACACGAGAGAGCCCGCTTCATCAATTTTACGAAGCAACTGGCCCCAAGGAGAAAATATCTTGATAGATTTGTTACGTGGATCAGCGACAATAATATTGCCTTTACCGTCTGTCGATAAACCAAGTGGAAGTTGAAGTTGATGATCAAGATTTCCTTCGCCGCCAAACTGGCACAGAAACTCGCCCTGCGCGCTAAAAACTTGAACTCGGTGATTGTTACGATCTACTACTACAATGTTATCATTATGAAAAGCAATTCCACAAGGCTCGTTAAATTTTCCGTTTGAATCGCCCTTTCTACCAAAAGACCTTAGGAAGGTTCCATCACTTTTGAATAACTGCACTCTATGGTTTAACCTATCAGTCACTGCTATTTCATCTCGTTCATTCACTGCAACTCCCCAGGGCTGATTAAATCTTCCAAACGACGATCCCTTTTGGCCAAAACTCAAAACAGGCTTGTACTGTCTGGCTTTGACGTGAAACTTAAAAGGACTGCCATGAACATGTTCTCCATTTACCTTCACTGATACCTCACATGTTCCGGTTTCTCTGGCAAAATAGCTGATCTTGTAAGTACCATCTTTGTTATCTCCCACCACTTCTTCCGTGGCACAGACATGCCCTTGACGGTCTCTAATTTTCACTTTCACAAAGTCACGCTCCTCATAGCACTGAACTCCATTGGCAGTTCTTGTTGTCACAATAATGTCTGCTTTAAGTCCAACAGTCGCTTCCTTGATTCCTTTACCCTCGGCACTTGACTGCCGCGCTACTGTCTTGGAAAAAAATGTCTTGAATGACCCAATCCCTTCAGAGTTCACTTTGGCCATTAACATTTCATTTTGTATGAAAGCAAAATGGCAAGGATCTTGTAAGTCACATTCGACTTGACCTCCATCATTGCTTCCTCCTTGAAAGATTGTCTTGACGTCTAATTTAGTAATCTCGGCATTTGATCTTCGTTTCAAAATGTGCTCAACTTTCTCGATCTCTGCCTCAATGGTCACTAGCTGACTTTCCACTTCGTGCCGTTGAGTTCCTAGAAGCTTGAGAGTTTCTTTCGCTTTCTTTCCTGCGTCATTAAATATTTCTCTCTTTTTCGCCTCCATGGCGAAGATCAGATTGTCAACAAACATCTGTGTATCTTTCTTAACGCATTCGACCTGAGCTTGAATGTCCTCACAGTTACCCTGAATTCTGGAAATTTCTTCCTTCTTCTGAAGCGCTATTTGTTTCTGAGATTCAATACGAGCCTTAATATGTAACTTGCGTTCATTTGCAGCTTCATCTAGGAGTATCTTGGGGTGGCCGTCATGAACTGTTGCGACGCATGAATAGCAGATGGCAACTTCACAACTCTTGCAAAAGAACTCCAATTCCTTCTTTTCATGGCCTGGTTTTCCACAAAAAGCTGGTCGATTTAAAATGTTCTCAAAGTCCTGATCTTCAAAGTCTTTCAGCGCCAGCGCATGGTGCTCTTTATTGGCTCTGATGCCATTATGCAAAGCGATACAGTCGTCACACCAGAATGTACAACACTGGAAACAATAAAAGCTGTGTTCGCTCTTTTTGTCTGGAGGTTGCCATTCTCAGGGACTCTGAATTCCTGTCGGCATTCAGGGCACGCAATCACATTGGGGTTGGCACTCGTTCGTTGAATCCCATTCAGGCAGTGAAGGCAAAAGCTGTGCAAGCAAGGCAACTGTTTTGGGTCCGTGAACTTGCACATACACACAGAACAAGAAACCTCTTCATGCAGATTATCTAGCAAGGTTTTGATATCCATGTCAAAGAATGAACGGCAGAAAAAGACTCAAGAAGCCAAGCAGTAATATGAAGTCTCCTGATCAGTGGGCTTGGTATGTGATATTGTAATCAGTTTATAACATCAACCAATGACGAAGTGTTATTTCGACATGTTTTGACGATGTCTACCTTCTGAGAATGATTGCAAAATAATTCTAGGTTTCTAAGAATTATGCTCACGAAAGCGGGACTTAAGAGGCTCCTTCACATTGATAAGACACGAGAAATTTCACATAAGGTTACTCAGAACAGAATAGAGGACAGAGCTGCTTTACTTTGTTCTCATTTATGTTCTGTTTACTGTTATCGTTGTATTTGAAACTGCTCAAGCAATGCTCTGGGTGCCAGAGATTAGAGATGATAGTCCGCGGCGAAGCATGCATGGTTTATTTCATTCTAGCCGATTTAATTTCGACAACGGACCTCTGGAGGCAGGAGTTGGGGCCTTGTGCAACCAGATAGTATTGGAAAGAAAAGGGAAACGCTAATTTTATTCATTGAACTTCTCGTTTTTGTGAAATAACACACTTTTGCCCCGTTATGAGTACTTTCAGGCTTAATTTCGTACCCAGAAACCTCGGGCTCTTTGGTCAGCTGGCGGTCGCCAACAGGACTCTAGATCTGGATACGAATTTTCGCGCGTGGCATGTACACACACTGGATTTATTGTTACCGTATTGCGCTTCACGTAACACGTATGAAGGTATTCTAAGCGAAGGCTGGTTGAGTGTTATTTTGTTTACAATATAAAGCCCCCCCCAAACGGACACAGCATTGTTGGCCACACTGGACGAAAAAAATGGATTAGCTCAAATTCGCTGCTTGCAAATATGTAGCAAATTTGTAAAAACGGAGGATTACGTATGGGCTGAAAGATGGTAAATGTCATATTTGCATACCATAAAACAGGGGGTGTAAATAACTAGGCAAAATGTGGCATTCAACATCTTTGCCCCAGATTTACTCATCCGTTTTTACAAATTTGTGACATTTTTTTCGTCCAGTGCCAACAACTCCCAACATTGTTGGATGTTACACGTTGCGACCTTTTACACACCCTATTGCATGTAGTCGGTTGGGAGTTGTTGCGCAAAGTTTGCAACCGGTTAAACTTTTAAGCAAACAACTCCCAACATTTCTTTTTTTTCCCGTGATCGCCGTAACTTGGATCCGTTCGCACAGCTTTTCCAACATTGTTGGGGCCACGTGCGCGCATTACACATGGTCTCCCGCCCAGAGTCTTATGGGTTGTATCCTTCTCACGATGCACTGTAAGTCTGAACATTGTTGGGAGTTGCTGCATCCGTTTGCACGTACGGTAGCTCATTTTAACGGGAAAGAGGAATTCCACACGCAGCGGTAATTTGAATCTGCGGATAAACAGCAATGTTCACGAAGACGATTTATAGTTCGTTTTGCTGAGAACAGTTTACTTATCTTTAACGAACTCAAATGCGCATTCTTTGATTATCACCAGTTTAACTGTACAAGTTGCTAGCCTAAGGCTTGATTTCCACTGTCGCGTAATTTTTACGTGCGTATGTGGGTAAAATTTACGTTCGCAAATAAAATAGAGGCACTGTATAAAAGGTCGCACGTAAGCGTAAAAAGTAGAACCTCGCTCAACTTCACGTTTAATCTCAACACTTTATATCTTGTCTCTATTTTATTTACGTGACTAAAATTTACGTCTGTTAACGTACGTAACCAAAAACGCGTCAGTGGAAATCAACCTTAAGTAACTTATTTCATTGCGAGAGAGTTTTTAACCCTCATTACCACAAGAATAAGGCAAAGTAGCCTGCGTGGCTGTCGTTCGAAAGGGAGGGCCTCAAGGTGGGAGGGAATAGGCAAAGTGGTCAAATGCAATTCTAAAAAAGCGAGGTGACTGCCACTGAGTGAAAGATAAGAAACAAAGCCTCATTTCAGTTTACCGGTATTTTATTGTTGATTTCTTACTAATAAGCAAATCTTTGGCATATTCATTACTTTCTGTTGCCAAAGGCGCATAACAAAAAGATGAACATACTTCTGTGAGTGACTATCACAAGCAGGAAGAGGACGAAGAATGATGAGAAAGAATACACTTGTCATGCCCATAATCAGTTTAAATTCCTTTAACACTAAAGTAGTTTTTGGAGTAGTTCAGTTAGAGGAGAAACTTTATTTCGCCCCGCTGTGTGCTATATGGAATGCCTGACCCAGGGAATATGCTTGAGAAATATATTGTAATTTTCCTCGCGTGTGCCAGTGGCTTTTTTATAAGAAGCTTTTGAGTGACATAATAAGAGGGAGCATTTCCAAGGTATTTTCTCTTCACTTTTCATCCCCTATGACCTCTGTGAGTAGTAAACTCTATGGAAGGATCCTATAAACCGCGTTAACATTCGGTCCTCCGACTCCAAACGGGCATTGGGATTTATCAACTGCACCAAAGCGATTATAATGAACCTTGGATGTTTCGCCGCTCCAGCACTCGCCGTAAAACTGTATTGCAAATATCTAAGGAACCGAACGAGAATAAAAAAAATTATTAGTTACGTTATAAATTTTCGTCTTCGTTCGTTCTTCACTATGGTTCAACCCAGGAGGAACAATTTGGCTGAAAAATATGACGAAATGTGTTTTGTCCAACCACACCAATCATCAAATACCTACGCTCTTGGTTAAAATGAGACCAGTGACAAGGGAAATTAGCAAACAACGAGCTTCTGGACTAATCCGGGGCTTCTCTTTCAGAGTGCATTTTCATTTTCGCACATTTTTCCCCCGCCGCCATTGTTTTCTAAAACTTCTCCTTATGGTGTAAATCGATTGAAAAATAATTGGTAATAATTCATTAATGCGTGGTTCGAAACTTTATAAGAGACTCCCACACTTTTTTCAGTCAAATAGAGGCCTTTAATCCCCTTTGATTTTGCTGCTCTCAAAGCCGTTCACAGGTGTCCACGTTTACTATCAATCACACTCATATTCATGCATGATTAAACACTTATTTGAGCGATCGTATTCAGCCTACCTACTCAATTCATTAAATAACTAATCATGATAATTTCTGATGTAGCTGAATTTTGGACAGAGTCCACTAGCATTATAAGTGACTTACTTTGTAGTTTCTCTGTTTGGATAGCAAGGCACATTTCTGAACAGTTTTCTCAAGGTGATACCAATCTATTTCAGATCGAAGATTTTTCACAACCAGCGGAAACGTTCTGCTTTGGGGGTTATCTTTATAGCAGCCTATTTCTTCCACTGTTAAAATACATGCAATACATCACTTAAAAGATGTGGGAAACTATATCATCACAACACGACAGAAATGCTACAATGCACTCCCTTGAATTGTTTTATTAATTGTTAAAGAAAATATCTCTTAACTCTCTTACTCCTTGCTTTAGGTATGGAGAAAATTAATGTAGTTGTAACCTTGAGTTTGTGAACGAAATCCTATGTTGTGACCATTCAAATGACACCTCTCCAGCAGTACTTTTATTTAGCATACAGTTCTATTCTTTGCTATGGTGTGAGCACTAAAATAAAACCTTTTCAGTAGCACTTTCATAAGGTTTTACTTATTTAGCATAAATTCAATTATAGCTTAAGAAGGGCCGCCAGCAAGACCAGACGGTGCAAGATCAGAGAAATGGAAGGATTGGCAACGGTTCAACATCATATCGACAGAGAATGNAACCAGCGGAAACGTTCTGCTTTGGGGGTTATCTTTATAGCAGCCTATTTCTTCCACTGTTAAAATACATGCAATACATCACTTAAAAGATGTGGGAAACTATATCATCACAACACGACAGAAATGCTACAATGCACTCCCTTGAATTGTTTTATTAATTGTTAAAGAAAATATCTCTTAACTCTCTTACTCCTTGCTTTAGGTATGGAGAAAATTAATGTAGTTGTAACCTTGAGTTTGTGAACGAAATCCTATGTTGTGACCATTCAAATGACACCTCTCCAGCAGTACTTTTATTTAGCATACAGTTCTATTCTTTGCTATGGTGTGAGCACTAAAATAAAACCTTTTCAGTAGCACTTTCATAAGGTTTTACTTATTTAGCATAAATTCAATTATAGCTTAAGAAGGGCCGCCAGCAAGACCAGACGGTGCAAGATCAGAGAAATGGAAGGATTGGCAACGGTTCAACATCATATCGACAGAGAATGAAATAGTTCGGTGTTGACGAGTTTGAATACCAACCAGCTGGCAAAGCAAGCACACAGCACAAGACGGTGTCCGCATATAAAACAAGAGGAAGTCCACGTAAGACCTGAAATCGTGGGTTAAGGGCTTCAAAGAAAGCCTAGGGGCACACAACATCCCCATCGTCACAACAACGTCTTTTATGACAATACTCCCTCAGACTCGTGGCTGATCGAAAGCATTAACGCCCTATCACACCTCCGTTCGAACGGATAGATAACGTAAAGTAAAGTAAAGTTATGATGGAGACTTACTGCACGGTCCGTCCGTAAAACTGATGTCATCAAGTCCAATGTCTCCTCGGAAACTCGCGCCTCTTATAGCTTCAATCTCAACCTACGCGAAAATATTTCTTTCAGCATAGTTTTTTTACAGATCAGGAAGATGGGAAGATGTCTCCCACTGGTAATTTAAACGCGTTGTTATACACTAAACTAAAATCAGCGCAATTTTGTAACCAAACTGAGACCTCAGAGTGTTAAAAGCATAATCCTAGTTCACTTAAGCTTTATTATCAAAGCGAGGCCAGGTGAACAACCATTCGTATGAAAATGAAAAGATTCTTATATCAATGGTTGTATACCAGGCTTTGATAAAAAGACTCATTGGAACTCGGGTAATGACTACTTCTACTGTTATCTGCCAAGAGGAATGTTGTTTAATTGCCTATTTCGTTTCGACTGCATGACCAAGCCTTGGCGACACACGGTTAACACACGAGTTCGAATACCTCACAAGACACACAGTTTACACAAAGACGATTCGTTACTACGCGGTACAACTGAAGAAAGCCGTCTAACTTTCAAGGAAACATTGTCGCAAAGCATGTTTTATGGTCACTATTGAACCCAACTTGTACTCATTACAATCTTCCAGTCGTAATTAGTCTCGCTTGCGTAAGCAGCGAGACTCATAATCTGCAAGCGGTTTTTCTTCGTATTTAGAACACTAAAGAGGCGTTGGGGACCCAGGCGTTCCTAGCGGAGACCGTGGAAACTGGGAATAAGAATCGTTGCGTAACCGAAGCCACGCATGTTTTGCGAAGAAAGCTAAGGAAAGATTAATAAATCCGATTTATAGCTTTTCCGGAACGGGTCGGTCCACGAATTCTATCGCTTGAAAGAGTGGTCGAGAAAAAACTGGTCGGGTGTTGTAAACTTTTATTGTATGCAAATTAGTCTTGTGATGAGCATGCGGTTTAATTTCGGCGATGATTTAAATGACGTGCCAGGTTCTCATCACGACGTAATTTCTCTCGAATTTTCTTGTAATTATACACGCGTATAGCCTGCGACCGCAGACGTAAACACGCGTACTAAATCAGATCAGAAACAAATCGTCGAATACGATATAAAAAGTAAACATCCTGAAGAATACTCGACAGTCGATAAAGTAGGAAGTGAAAAACCTTTAGCGAGTAAATCCTGTTTCGTCTAGAATAACCGCCTCCTCTTTTCTTATCTAATCTCCAAGCAAGCGAGACATAACGCCGATATTAATAGCGTCCTTGTTCATTTTGATTCGCTTGCAGCTCTCTCTCTTTTTTGCGCGCTCACAGCTCCCCCAGAACGTATCATCGGTAAGAACACAATTTCCATACCTTATAATCTAAGCTGCTCGTAATAGAAACTTTTGCTTGCATCCATTGGTTTCCTTGTTTACCAGCCTTTTGCCAAAGTAGGGTCCTTTTGAAATCTTTAGCAAGGGTATACACACTAAGATTTCCAGTTGATGAGCCATACATGTGGTACCAAAAGGACAGGCACCGAGCAGCAGTTGACGGAAATTGATGACTGAGTAACCTAGCCTTATCGCCCTCTTGCGCGGGACTGGAAGCCTCCACATAAAGATAATTGCCTGGGGAAAAAGTAGTCTTTAATTAATATGTCACATTTTCATGATTAAGGATTACAGGAGTTAGGTTTAAGGTCCGGTTTATCATTTTCTTTATCCCTACGAGGTTTCAAGCAATCTGTTCTTTTTGCTTCATCGTTTTGAGCAAACTCCAGTTTACTAAGCATTATCAGAAACCCATGGCATTATAAAATAAGTGCAATAAAAAAAATAAATAAAAAACTACGATTCATACATTATACCCGTAAACTCATAGAAAACGGCAACTAAACTCATTTTCTCCCAACATCCCGCGAGGGTTATTTCGCGAGTAAATCAATAGAAACTCTTAATTAAACTGTGAAGAGGACTAGCCACCCGTTTTCGTCGTTTTCGCATAAAACGGAGGCCCTTTTAATTAGATTAGTGGGTAATTTTTTACCTGCGCCACTTGTGTGGTCAGCGGAAGGCCCCGTGAGGCTGCTGGGTGTCGATCCAGACCCTAATAACCACTTAAAATCTGAACTGCTAGATTGGTCATTTGACCAGTGGCACATTCCATCGGCGAAGTCAAAGTCACAGTCATCAGCGCCTACAGGTAAATAGAGCCATCTTTTGGTCAGTTTAAGAGCAACTTAGCCTGCGAGCAAGCTCTCCTATTTCCGCCCCTCGCTCGCGCGTTCTCGCGAGGCACGCTTCGCTTGCGCAAACAGGAGAGCTTGCTCGCAGGCTAAGAGAAACTAGGAGTAATAACCCCGCTGTTTTATTTTTTAATTAATTTATTTTATTTTGATAAGTTTATGCCGTGAACCTTAGGCCGTAAGAAGACTAAGAAGTTAGTAAGGACCATTTAGTAGATTCGCATTGAACCGCATAATAAAAAATACATGTTGAGTGCAAAGTCGCTCTCAATTTTGTTTTGCTCACTCACCCAAGCCACACCTTCTCAGTATACAAGCCTCTTGTTCTTTATCATCGCCAGGACAGGATTTTCCGGAATTTAGGGGTGGTGGATCATCGCATTTGCGCGTTCTTACTTTTGTTCCACTTCCACATGTCTTGCTGCATGTGGCCCATGATGACCAGCGGCCCCAGTGTCCATCCACGGGCGCTGGAAGAAGAAGGAATGTAATATGAAAAATGACAGGATTCATAAAATTTCGATTCCAGTTACAGATAAACAGGACGACCACACTTGGTACCAAATAGACAGCCATATTTTGGTCTCTAATTATACGAGGTCAGTTGCGAACTTTCGATGATAACTATGTCCCACCCCCTTAATTTCACAATTATCTCTGAATCAGTTTATTACTTTACTCGTACCACTGATCGAACGTTCTACTGCATGTTTTAACAGCAAATAAACCCACATACTGGAAAGAACATGGTAGAAGCTTTGAAATCGGCAGCCTGGGCCAAAAACGTTTGTGAATTACTTGCAAAAGGCTCGGCCTTGGGTGCCGCCTCCAGGCTTTCAGGTGAAATGGATTTATTGCGTCCACAAATCGATGAAAAGTTCGGTCTGTACTGTTTGCAAAATAAATTTAGGTTTCTGTGTATTTGATGTTATAATAAACAATAGCGTTTCACCAGGAAGAACCCAATGTGAAGAACCTTAAAGCATCTTACTTCTGATTTAATAATTAAGCACAGACCGAATACCCTATATGCATGCACTTCTCTACTACAACTCCGAATGGTCCAACGAGAAACCCGTTTTGAACACCTTATTGACTAAAACACGTTATGGAGTCATCTACGATTTTTCCTTCTTCAGCTCCGGTTGATCACATTATTTTATACTACTTTCTGCAACAACATTTTGGAAAATGACTGGGTATGACTTGGAATTGCTCTAAGGTACAGAAACAGCATTTAAAATAAAGAAACAGAAGTAAGATATTGCTGATGCACAAAAATGTTTTTAAGTAGTGAATTTCAAGGATTTTTCAAGACCTAATAAAGAAATCAAGAGTACTTTTCAAGGATCTTAACCGAATTCAAGGACTTTCCAAGACAACTACTAAACTTCAAGACCTTTTCAAGATTGTACGAACCATGGGTATCTTTTACACCTTCCACCAGTCAAACCCGCACGCCTCCTCCTCCTACTAACCGTAACATTCTTGGTGGGGACAAACCCGTTCTTCTGTCTGTATCCCGTTACTGTGCCCAGGACAGTGGACATCTTTGTTTGTGGACGTGCAGTAACGTTGACGGTACTTTTTACAATTGGCACCACAGGGTCCAAACTCTGACCACCTGCTCCATCCGGGACCATTCGCACCTGTTACATCAAAAACCATCAAACAATCAAACCAAAGAAGAACTAAAAAGGGCCACTGATGCAAGATGCATTGAGAAAATTTAACAGATGGTGGCTTACGAAGTTTACAGGAACCCATTTCTCGAATGTCTCGATATTATTTTGGGCCCAGAAAGCTATCTTACCGGCAAGCAGCTATAATACTGATTATTACAAGACCGCAAATGCTCGAATTAGCGCCCTCCCTCAGACAAGCGCTACAACATGAGGCTTGAAATATTATAAAGAAAGCTTAATCAGTGGCGTTTTGAAGCCCTTTTCTCTTTTTATATGTCTTGACGCTCACAAATTTGTATTGCTTAGTGTTTAACCTGAAAAGGTGGATTTGACCGAAAATGCGGGCAAAACCACTTGGCCCGAGAATGCAAAAATTCATTTTCCGGGTGATGTGCGTCGCTCAAAACGTCTTTGCTTTAGCTTCCTCGCATTTAGCTCCTCCCTTTTAATCAACGCCCCTCAACCCTCCCCCAAGAAAGAAAAGCCACTGAAAATACGCTGGTACAGAAGAAGAAAAGGATTTCAATAACACAACCTTGGAGGACACAGGTTTTTGAGACCGACATTTCTGTTTCTTCTACATAGTTCTAGTTTACTATTACAGTTTGTTTTGGTATACGTTCTGCCCCCCTTTCACAGACCACTGATCTAACTGTTTTCGGTTTGTTAGTAGAGGCCATTTTAGTAATCAATACTTTCTATTATTACAGACCACTCCACTTACTGCTGCATTCGTAGAGTGAGTTGATTTCCTGTATATCCAGTTGGGTAAATCCATTTCTCTGGCCAAGCGATCTTGCGGAGTCTTTGATAGATCTCAGAGTAGCTTCGCCATTCTTAGAGAAGCTGTCCATACCATAATGCATAATACTGTCGTAGTCGTAAGGCACGTTGAGGGTGTCTATCCTGCCTCGGTCGTATTTGTTGAAGTTGTGTGACTGGCCTGGAGTAGAGAAATACTATGAAAACAGATCTTTCACTTCTATTTTAACGTAGCTGGAAAGCCTACGCGACGAGAATGCATGTGTAGCAATATGTGGGTAATTTAAGAAAATAATATTGCCAAACAAGGCCATGAAGTAACTCATCTGTCATTAAATCGTTTATACCATTCCTTGGTACTCATCTGACAACCGTGAAATTATGACCAAATTACACAGGATTTACAGCCACCCTCATGCCCTTGTTAACTACAATCCTCGTCACATTAAGTTGGGACACCCCTTTCCGTACCCATATATTCCGACAAAAAGTTGCCCGCCTTTTTTGCTTCTGACATGCCATCTCGCAAAAACCAACATTGAGGGGGCAGACAATACCACTACTGTCCCAGCTAATGTGACGAGTATTGTAGGCTGAAGGCCTTAAAATCGGACGACGTTTTAGCTATCAAAATAGCTGTATATCGTATTACATCATCAACATTAGCAATTCTAGGGGCGCTGTCTTCACTCAACCCCAATTTATGGTTCTAAGATACCATGGGCTAGCTTGAAAACAGCTGACATTTCGCGACGTCACTCTTGGTTTCCCCACGAAATGACGTCTGAGAAAAGAGCGCAGAAATTCCATGCTGATGACGCGTCACTATCTAGATCTGGGTAGAGCTTATGATTGGTTGAAGCAAATTTCCCCCACGCGGCAGGACCAATCAGAAGCACTATCCAGATCTGGGAAGTGACGTGTCATCAGCAAGGAATTTCGGCGCTCGTTTCTCAGACGTCATTTCGCGGGTAAACCAGTGGTGGCATCGTGTTATGCCGGATGTTTTTCAGGCTAACCATGGGCCGAACGTCGATAATTTTTAAAGTAGTCAGGTGGTTTTTGTAAACCGACGGGCATACACATCGTCTCCTCTTGTCTTTCGGAATCCGCTTTTCGTAACTGTATTTTGATTGCTCGTTTCAACTCTTTTAAGGATCATGGCAGTTATGCACACTGCATCAAAAAATCAGGCCTTCATCGGGATTCAGCGGGAAACCGTGGAGAATCTCATTAGCGATGCTTTAATCTAACCAACTGACATAAAAAGTCACTGCCATTGAGTGCAAGTCAATAACATACATTCAGTCCACCACCAAACCTTCACTCTAACTCTATTTACTGTTGAGATTATATTGGCGTACCGTCCAGTATGTTCTCCCAGAGTACTTCTACATAAAGGTTTCTGTCTGGTCGTGATTGCTCATGCCAGAAGCCAATTGCGTGCATTATTTCATGCATGACGGTTCCTCTGTGATTACAACCGCTGCCCAGTGAAACCTGTTGCCCGTAGTCATACCTCCAATACTTTTTCCCAACACTAGACCAGCACCTGAATAAAACAAATTAAACAAGAATGATACTCAGCGATTGTAAAAATATGTACATCAGAGGTGCCAGACTATGTTCGATCTATATGCAAATGTGTATTCAGACAGGAGTAAAAGAAACCATCTTATTGGTTGCCTGGAGTTTTTGTAAATATTAACCCCTCGGGAGAAAACACTCGTATATCAGTCGTAAGCAAAGCTTTCCGTTCGAAGTTTTGCAGCTGTCATCCAACAGAACATGGATCACGCCCAAGATTTTAAGATAGAAAACTTACCCAGATTTAAAAACAAACAGAAGCCAGTTTGGCTGATTCGTTCTCTCGACAAACTTTAGACAGGTATGTTTGTGAAACTCTGCAATAGCTTCCTTGACGCTGGATATATAATCAGCTGCACGAAAACAAACAAACACAAAAAGATTTAAGTCATTTCAAGGTTAGGCAGATATGCTCTAAATGAAATTGTTAAATAACGTCGCCCGGCGTACTTTTATAAGGTATAAACGCAAATACCCAGATTAAAAATCAAATCCCCTTCCATTCCGTTTGGGCAGAAGGAGGACTCACATGTGTGCCACTTGCAGTGCCGTGTGAGTTGAGGTGATGCAATGTTTTTCAATCTCTTTACACCCCTCCGGCTGATTTGGATATACTTTCTAGCGGTTCCTTCTCTCACAACCTTGGATGCAAAACCCCTTAAATCCCGAATGTCACGATCAATCGATAAATCACTCAGCTCCGTGTTTGAAGAGAGTAAGGGATGCTATCCTGCGAGCAAGCTTTCACGGGGCTCCCAGGGGTACGGCCGGGCTGGCAGGCTAAAGGGACGCAATCCTCAATGAAAGAGGAACCCAGAGCTAACAGGCCTTTTTTTGGTGTACACCACTACCACCACCACCACCAAAAAACACTCACCCGTGAGGTAATTAGAGCATGCACTTTCCCTTCGATGTTTAATACCGTGTGATAAGCTGTTCTCACCTGGAAGTCCTGGATCAAACTTGTAAGGTACTATCTTATCATGCCAGAGAATCCGTCTGTTACGATCAGCATTCCTCTTGCGTCGACTCGGTTCCAGGTCTCCGTCAACATCTCCCTCCTCACGGGTATCCACAAACTTCGGGTCAAATGGAGACAGAACGATATCGCCCTCAAATAAGGATTTGGCGACAGCTGATGAAATAAGTATACATAACGTATTCAGTAAACGATACGTGCCAGATGAAATGAATGAAACATTGCATTGGCACGATGTTTATTGTGAAGACTTTTACCGTACGTTCAATCGCTTTTCTTTGCAAAGCGTTCACGACAAATGGTGATACTCAAAGTGTATGGAGAATATGAATGCATTACTGCGCCTTCCCAGGGACCGCGGAGGGGGAGGGGCTGGTAGGGCCGCGGCCCCACCACTTTTTTGCGCCCCCACCCCCACTTTTTGCGCTAAAGGACAAATAATTAAATTTTAAAAAAAAGACTTGAAACAAGTTTTTTCCGTCCATATTCCGCTATATTCTCTGTATTTTCTTTAATTTCAAAGGCCAGGCATTTTGTGGGATTCCTGTGCTTTAATTTTCGCAGTAATTGTGCCCTTGGGCCGACTTGCCCCTTGATTAAACACCATGCCTTGGCCACCCCTTCGCTTCGTTCGGCAGCGTGTCTTGTACTTCCAGCTCCTGCAGAGTTTTTTATCAGTTTTATCAGACGAAATGAAGAGAATTACTAGCTTTTTCAAGCCAAACGAAGGTGAGTAGTTGTTTTGAGTTGATAAAAGTTTTATATTTTTTCTTTCTCCTTTCGAATCAATGAAATATTCGATGGCAAGAAGAATTACATTACTTGAACAGTGAAGGGCCATAGTCAGAAATTTTTCAGATCACGTCAGTGTAGTATTTTCTATACTAAAATTGTAATCCCGTCTTTTCTTGCATTGAATCTGATTTGACCGAGTATGTTGGTCGTTTATTAGAGTTATCTGGGACTTCGTCAAAGTCTGTAAGCTGTGTAGAAAAGACGACAACTACTTGCATTGAAAATGATGAGTTTGAGTTTGACCAGTAAACATACAAATACTATGATTTTATTCCTTTTATTCCTTTTTTCGATTTTCAATATGAAAAAAAATATTTTCAATTGTCAGCCCTCCCACTTTTCACCTTGCTCCGCGGTCCCTGCTTCCAGAACAAATCGCAACTCACCACAAGAGCGCACATATCAGTGTAACTAAACTCTGCCATCACACTTCGTAAAATTACAAGTTCGGTTTTACAACAATGAGAAAAAAAAAAAAGATTTCGACCTCACAAAAAAATAAATAAAAATAAGTAAATTTGCAGCGATATATATGGTTAACTGTTATCCCTTTCCTTGCCCTCACCACTGTAAACACAGATATAATGAGCTGGTTCTAAAAACGGTCAGTGTAAACATTGTCAGGTCCTAATCAGGTACGGTCATACAAACCCTTGTTAGCTTTGGCGATATGATTCGATATTTCTTCGTCCTCATCTGAAGAGTCGTCTCTTTCTAAGAAAAAAAAAAGTCGTTTTACCATTTGACTTTTGAAGAACATTTGATTAAAATGTTTGACATAAAGAACGCAAACAAACAATAGCAGCATTACAGAATTTCGAGAAGTATTGGCAGTAAAAAGGCTGACTATGATCGATGAAATCGAAACCTTTTTAAAAATATTACTTTGGAAATGTTTCAAAAAACGGCGCGTGCTTAGTTTTTAAAGGCGTCACAGATATTGCAGTTTCGAGCAGCAGGAAAATTTTTACAAACGTTTTGGTATTGTTTCTGCCGATATACGTTTTTATTTTCCAACTCTTCGTGCAAATCATGCAAATTGTTGTATATTGAAGAAATAGCGACATTTTCGGCGATAAATCAGAACCTCGAAAGAATTTTAAAAAGCCAGAGCAAGAGGGTTGCACAAGTCGAGGATTATTATAGCGTTGCGTTTCTGGAAACGTAACCAAAGAAAAAGCACCACTACATTCTAACCTTAATTCCATACAAAAAAAATTAGTAACTGTTTTAAAACTCACCTTTGTGCCAAGATTTTACAGGAATCGCAAAGCTCTTCAGGGTAAACCCCAAAACCAGACAAAGTGCAATGACACCTTTCACTGCAGCCATTTTATTTAGCCGATCGCAATCAAGCAACCATCGACTCGTGACGAATATCACTGAAGTTGTTCCTTCACTTTCCTTTCGACGTAAAACCACTCTTGGCTTCCTTCTACTTTTATTTCATCGATGGAATATCTCAGATGTTATTTTCCCATGCTAATAACACGGAGTTGTAAAGCGAAGGTGGTTGTGTTTCCTCGCACTTGCGGTAACCTTGATATGATTGGACCAATCTAACTTAAGAAAATTATTACATATTACATCTTATTTCCAAACGGAACACAAACCTACGTATGAAATCGCTACAGCGGAGAGGGAGGAAAAGAGTAAACGAAAGTTGTATCAAATTTCACTGATCGCTTTAGTGTAAAATTTTCACTGAAGAATACACTGTACATTATATTTCAGCGTATTTTGGAAGAATAAGACGAGAATAATCAAACCTTTGTTTGAACTAAAATGTCCAACCATTAATATTTAGACAGACGTTTTCTTGTAAAAAACTAATACCTAACACGTTTTATTAAAGTCAGTTACAGCAGGGTAAACCTACTTCAGTCAATTTCGGGAGTTAGTCCAAGGGAAATGAACTTAAGTGGTATTTGGCCATGCACTTTCCTTTGAATCCTATAAAGAAGTTTCCATTTCCGCCCTTTCAAAGCTTAATAAAACACATTAACAATGGGCTTATTTTAACCTGGAACGGCAAGTAACGGCCGGGAAAAGGAACATTGAGAAATAGTGTGAAAAGTAGATTGATTCAACAAACATCACGTTTTCTGTAGCCTGGCAACTTCATACGCAGAAAATTATTTGTAACTGATTTTAATTCTCGCCAAAGGGAATAAAGAAAATAGAGAGACAAAATTCATTGTAGTAATTTTGGGGGGCAGTAAATTTTCTCGGTTACGAGTTACTAACTTTGTCCTCTGGACCTGTAAGTTTACTCAGATTGAATTTTTCCTGTTTAACATTTTTTATTCCCACAGAAAAAAAAAATCCGACAAACATTCCCAATTTCATTTTGAAAAATGCTGGCAAACAAAAAGTACCATGGTTTCATACGAATGGGCAGCCTATACGATTTCAACCACAGACTAAAAAAAATAGAATTGAACTACATACTAAAATAACAATAATAAAAAAACCATGCGAAAGTACTGCATAGAAGGTTTCATTTAAATGGTCACACTATAGAATTTCATCTTCATCAACAGACTCAAAAGTAAGAACTGCACACTAACTAAATAGCACCATGTAAAAGTACTGCTAGCTGAAGAGGTTTCATTTGAATGGTCACACCATAGTTTGTCGTCCACAGACGGTTAGAACTACTCACTAACTAAAGACAGGGGCACCCAACGAGAAGATAGTTCAAAACCACTTAATAGCATTGTTAAACGTATTTTAGTATTTAAACGGTAGATATAGGCATATTTTTATCCCTTAGAAATTTTTCATCTGTTCGGATCTCCTAGCTGAAAGTCTAGTGATCCGAAAACTATAGGGATCAAAACTTACCTTTTCGAAAATTTCAGTTACGAAAAAGGCTCCCAAAAATTCTAGATGACCTTTTAAGGGTAAAAATCCGTTAAAAATGGGCAATTATAACATTTTTCAGATGTTCGAAAATCCTAGGAGAGGCAGGCAAGTAAGAAATTTTACAACAAATGTCCCAAAATTCTACAACAGATCGCAAATCCCCTTCCGAACAGATATTTTCCGAAAATTGTCGTTGGGTGCCACTGTAAAGAGGACCTTGTGAAAGTACTGCTGAAGAGGTTATATTTGAATGGTCACATAAGAGGATCTCGTCCACAGACTGACTAGTTACAACCACCTTGCTATCAAGTGATAGGGTATCAGAAAGAAAACAGATAAATGTCGTTGTGATCTCTGAGTAAGCATTTGTATTTAGTAGGTTTTAATTTACGGGACATTTTTTCCATTTCATCCATCTTTGAGTAACGCAGTTAGCTAGACCCAGTTAGGTTGTTCTAAATCTTGAGCCTTTGGACAGATGAAATAAAACGTGTTTTTTTTTTTTCTTAAAAAGAAAAATTGTAACACCGTTAGAGGGCTAGTTGAATTTTTTTCATGAAAGCGCTCTAACTGTTCGAGTAAAGGGGCCTAACAAGGACGAAGGGCTTATCACGATTTCTGTAGCTTTAAGCCCTATATGAGTTTAAATACTCCACCCCCCCCCCCCCCCCAGGGGGGGCCTCCCTTTTGTTTGGGTTCCCCCCGGGGGTGATGCGCCGGTCCCCCCAAAAAAACAATATGGAAA